CAGGCTGGCCTCGAACTCACAGAGATCCGCCTGGCTCTGCCTCCCGAGTGCTGGGATTAAAGGCGTGCGCCACCAACGCCCGGCGGAAGGTGAAATATTATCTTTGAAGGTAAACAAAAAGCATTGCAACATGATTTTTCTCAGTGTTAGGTATTAGGGTATTTTAAAACCCCATAGGCCAAGTTCATTTACAGTATTTTATATTTATAGTTAATGTTTAATATTTAATAATATAATAAATATAAATTATTCCTATTTAACATATGTAACATATAAAATGTATTTGATATGCAATTAAATAAGCATGAAAATAATTACTGAATATTCCATTACTGTTTTCCCAGGGATGGTGAAATTGAAACTGAACAAATAAATACATAACAAAACCAGAATCAATCACACCAAATTTAGCAATCGATTTCCCTAGGCAATCAGTTACTCTTTCTTCTTTGTCTATTCCATGATTCCTCCTATGACTGCCTTACTGTCATACCCAGTGAAACGTGTCTAATAATATTAAATGTATTATCTATGACTTGGTGAGTAATTATTAACAAACTTAAGTCATTTGTTTCTCTTGCATCTATACTTCTTTTTATGAAATGTTTATCCCTTTACCTTTATATTTAAATCACACTTGTGCTAAGTTCCTGATTTAAACTCAGGTCTTGTTTTCTACCACGCAAATTTGGAAATGAAATTAGATATAAATTTAATAATAATTCTATTTTAAACTATTTTACAGCTCTGTGTCTCGTCCTGTATCCTTTATTCAAATGCTGTAAGTATTTTTAACAAATTCTTATTTTTAAAGGAGGAAAGAGGCATGGGTCTGGAGACGGAGCCTTTCCTAATGCTGAAATCATCATGCTTGAGAAGGAACGAGACCAGAAGCCAACCATTCCCCTAATGCAGAGCAGGATGGGTGGCAAAACTCACTAGTTTTTTTTTTTTTTTGACACATCAACACAGACCAACAAAAAAAAATTAAAATGATCCCCCATAGGTTGTGATGAACAGGTTTCTGCTACTCTAACAGGCATGAGGTACATGAATGGAGTTTACCTGATACTTTAGTGGGGAAAAGATGCTCGAGTTAGTTGACCTAATAAAGAGCATGTATGCACACAGACACACACACACACACACACACACACACACACACACACACACATACACACACACACTTACATATGCATGCATGCATGCACACTGGAAGTAATTTGGAATATGCCAACATTTTCTCATAAAATAATATTAATATTATAAATACCTCAATTCATATTTTAATAATTTAGTATCATACTTTGGTATAGGGTGACAATAAGATACACCTTAATTTCAAAACTTCTAAAATAATCTGTGACATTATCCTAATCAAGTCAAGCTAGCAACGCCTGTAACATGGAGCGTATTGATTTCCAGGAGCTGCACAACCATGGGTTCCAATCCTCAGGTTTCCTAGCTTTCTGCAGATGAAAAGTCGTGTGTGAAGCATAATGTCAAAAAATAATTTTAAAGCATATTTCTTTTACTAAAGCAGCTGCTATGCAACTAAATTATAGAAACGTTGTTTATCATTGCACTAGATAATTCTAAATTTTAGTTTCTGAGTAAACACCAAGCAATTGATGGATCTCATTACCTTTGGCTTTCCCTCCAAATAAAAGACGGCTCCGCACCTCAAGAGGGTGGGTCTCTAGGGTCCGCTCCAGATGTTGAGTGTCCACAGATCTATCTTCTCTGGAAAAAAGGAACAGAACCCATTCTGGAGCCAACAGCAGGAATCCTGCCTTTGGGGGCAGGCTGCTCTCATCTGCCTCTTGTCCATCTGCCACAGCAGAGAGCCCGCTGCTGGTTTATGACGATGGATAGCCAGCACACACGCAGAATGGCACGAATATTAAAATATGAAACTGATAAGCTGATAATAAATCTTTCTGAAACAAGTTACCTGTGAGCTATCAATACAGCAGGAAGGTGCTTGAATGCTAAGCCGCCACCCGGAAGCTCGCTGCGAGCAAGCCAAATAATAGCCAGGGTAAATATGACCATGACTTTAAAAATAAACCCAGGGATGGGCCACCCATAATCACAGCCATCAGCATTAACAGAATATAAATGAAATCACATATCCATTTTACCTGCCGTAATTGTTGATTGATCTGAAAGCAAAGGACTCCTCTATTAGACACACACACACAAAGGAAACAGCTTGTCCTTAAAAACTTATTCATTACAGAAGCAGATGTGAGATGCCCACCAGGTGGATCTTTTTTTTTTTTTTTTTTTTTTTTGGTTTAATGTACTGAAACCTAAAATACTTTACAGTTAGAAAATACTTTGCCTCAAAAAGTACAATTCTGATGTATTAATTACAAATTAATAATAATGATGAGAATAATAATAACAATACTTTGAATGCCTTTAAAGCTAAAAAGGAAATGTTTTATATTCTGATCCAGTACAGATGAAGGCAGAAAGCAAAAAGCAAGAGGCAAAGATTCCATTAGAGAAACATCCCTACCTTGTTTAATCATCTCTGGTATTTGCTATTTTATTCTCTCTCTTTTTTTTTAAAGTAATGTTATAAGCCATATCTAGACAATAATCTTGTCCTTGAGGTTATATAGTCACAAATATTTACCTATCACCTTATTTCCATTCCTACATATAAAATTTCTAAATTGATCCTTTTCTCACACAGAGAGCTCCTTGACTGTAGCTAAATGAACAGCTGGAGTGAGGCTTTCCATCCATTTGAGACTGTAACCTTACAATGGGATGCTGGGACAGACTGATTTTTACTCCCAGCTCTTTAGGCTCTTAACTGTCTCGACTTCATTGTGAGTAAAAGACACATGCCTGCCCTTTAATTTAATTTTATTATATATGGGAAGTTGTGTGCATGTGTGTCTGTGCACCACACGCTTGCAGGGCCTGAGGAAGCCAGAAGAGGGCACTGGACCCCCTGAGACTGGAGTTACAAATAGTTGTGAGGCACTATGTGGGTGCTAGGAATCAAATGCAGGTTTTCTAGAAGAGCACAGATCTCTTAACTTCTGACTCCAGTGCTCTGAACCACTGAGCCATCTCTCCATTCCCCACCCCACCCTTTGATTTTGAGCTTTGCTGTTTTACTTGTTCTGGCCAAGTGAATGTAGACAGATATAAAGATGTTTCCATTTGAAACCAAGCCCATAGGGATGCTCATGTGTTCCTGAATGTCTTCTGTGCCATCACCCCAGCTAACCCCCTGTCCAAAGGGGACGGAGACATGAAGCAATACAGTACACAGCAGAGCCTCCCTAGCAGCCTCCACAGATATGTGGGTGTAAGTTGCTGCTTATGGTGACGTGAATAAAAATGGTTCCCATAGATCCATATATTTGAATACTTGGTTCCCACTTGATGGAACTGTTTGGAAAGGATTAGGAGTTGTGGCCTTGTTAAAGGAGGTGTGTCTCTGGGAGGAGTTTTGAGGTTTCAAAGGCCTGTGCCATGTCCAGTTAACTCTCTCTCTGCCTCCTGTTTCTCAGTAAGGATGTAAGCTCTCAGCTACTTCTCCAGAATCATGCCCACCTACCTGCTGCCATGCTCCCCTGCCATGACAGTCATGGAGTCCAATCTTCTGGAACTGTGAGTCCCAAATAAAGTGCTTTCTTTTACAAGTTACCTTGGTTATGGTGTTTGGTCACAGCAGTAGAAAAATAGCTAAGACACTGTTATTTTGAGTTACTAGTTTTTGTGGTAATAATTTATTAGTAAGTATCATGGCAATAACTACTGGATTAATTATATTTATTAAAGAACATAATTTATATGTATTTAGAATACATCTGTGGAGGGAAAGGATGTTGGAATAAGCACAAAATTTGAAGACACTATTGCTACTTACAGTGAATTTTAATTGTTCAGTATGAGTAGGAAGTTTTGAATGTATTTCTTTGTCATTATTCCTTCACTACAAATTATATGAAGTACTGGGGAACTTCATTAAATGGCTTTTTCCAATGTGGTACAGCCATCCAATTATGAACTTAATCAAGAATCAAGCTACTGTTTGTCCAGTGTCCGAACTTACATTGTTAAAGATATTTCTCTAGTTTCAGAGGACAGCTTTTAAGGATGTTTAGTAGCAGATAATTAGATAGACACTGTCGTGTTTGTAGATGTAATTCAGGTGTAGAGTACCTGCCTGGCATGCAGGAAGTTCTGAGCTCTAGAACCTCATAAAAGTCTCCATGGTTGTTCATGTCTGCAATCCATCACTTGGGAGGCAGAGGCAGGAAGATTAGAAATTCAAGTTCATTCTTGGCTACATAGAGAATTTGAGGTCAGTCTAAGGCTCCGTAAGTTCTCTGACTCCCAAACAAGTGGGGGAACAGTTATTTTTAAAAAGAGAAGACAAGAAAGATTATTATGGTCTCATATACCCTCTTAAATAGTAGAAAACTTTAGTAAAAATTGACTGAATGGGAGAGACAGTTAAGTGAAGATGGCTATCCTCAGTAGCTTTATTTTATTTTATTCAGATTTTCTTCTATAAAAGATCTTTAAGGAGAGTGAGAATGAGGATCTCGACTGCATAAGGTTAGACTGGGGTGCCTGATTTGTCAGAGGAATATGGAGAGCATTTAGTAATGTCAGGAGACATGTTTGGCTGTCACCAAAGTGAAGGCTGTGGCTGCATAAGGGCCATGGCTGAAGGTTTCAGCTTCTCCTAACCTGTGTCCAATGGGATTGGAGAGGGGGGAAAAAGTAGTCAGGGTGTTTGGACTCATGACAGGCAAAGGAAGATGAGAAAGCAATACTTTGACAGGATGAGAAGTTCAGGGTATAGAAAGAACAAAAGCAAGTCAAGAGTGAGAAGTTCTTCAGGGAAATGCAAATTAGAACTACCTCGAGATTCCATCTTACCACAGTCAGGATGGTCAAGAGTAATAAAATGAATGACAGCACTTAGTTATGTCACCAAACAGGGATACATTGAGATGATGCTCAACCCTACTAACTAATGTTCATGGTGCTAAAAGATCCTCAGTATCAGGGGAGAAAGGTGATAATCAATATCACCCAGCTACAAACCCTAGGATCTACAGCAGCAACCTGCCTGCAGGATATCCTGGTGCAATAGTGGCGCACAGGTTATGGGAGTAACCAACCACTCTTTACTTGCATTTTAGGCCCTCTCCATAGCATGGGACCCATACTTGACACTGCAAAAGTAACCAAGAACCTGAGATTAGACATTAGAGTCTGATGCACTATATGTGAAAATGCTAACTCCACACAAGACTATACAAATGCTATAAACTATTTTATAAGGTGGCAAATGTACAGACCAGAGTGAACCTAGTACAGATAACGGCTGTTGTCAGTGAGAGGGAAGGAAGTGCCGTCCCAGGTCATCACTGCAAGCAAAATCAAATTCTTATGATAATGACAACTTGGACAACACATAAGTACTGCAGTGTGTGTGTGTGTGTGTGTGTGTGTGTGTGTGTGTGTGTGTGTTTGCATTCACAGAGTTCTCACCATAAACATTATAAGTTGGCAAAATGTTTCTATGAAGTCAAAATCTTAAGAATTTTGACCCAAGGACTATGGCAACTACTTAACTTTGTCATTATAAAACAAGGCAAGTCATAGTCAATAGAAAATGAATAGATACAGCAGAGCACCAATAAAACTTTATTTATAAAAAAAAATAGTGTTTCCCTGTTGGAGTAGAGAATAGAATAAATACTGTGATATAGTCTACCACCAATCAAAGGAAGAAGACTGGAACTCAAAGATTTTTTTTTTCTGTGATATCCTTTCCTCTAGTCTGTTAAGAATGTCATAAATAAGTAGGGAGGAAATATCACTTACAGTGAAACAAAACACCAATTGATTGAAGCAAAAATAAGGAAATAGATACGAATCTCCACAACTGCACTTGACATTTACAAATGGGCTTAGCTGTTCTGCTGGCATAAAAAGCAAACAATTTCATCTCCACAGAAACTGCATCCAAACCTCTTTGCAAGGTTGTCATGGGCGGCATGATTAATTATTTCTTGGAAACTGTGCCGATATGTCTCAGGCTTCTGAAGAATTCCCTGTGTCAGAGACTCCTCCTCTTTGTTACTCATCTCCCAGCTTTGCCCAGTGCCGCTGGTAAAGGCTTGATCTGGATCTCTCCACCTGTTTTTCTCTATGGATTAGAGAAAGACACTCCTCTCCATTTAAGAGCTCTTCTTTTCCCACCAAGGAGAACTCTATAGGTCCCAAGCTTTCAACAACTTTCAAAAAAGGCACTACACTTTCAACAGATAAATGAAGATAACTATGCTCATAGGTATTTGCCATTAAAGAACATAAAGAAACCATCAGGTGTTCAATATATGAAGAAATGTCCCAGTGAGTACAGTTTTGGGCTGGTGGGAGAAAGGTTTTGGTTAAAGGATGTGATTTCAACTCTGTGATATTGCAGAGTGGAGCCTGCACTGTCCACAGCTGAATGCCTCCTCAAACAGGACATGCACATGTGGTTATTTCTAAACCTACTGTCAAGAAGGCCATTGTGGCCTTGTGGGGGAAAAAAATCCCATAAAAAGACAAAACTCTCTTTAATTTTTAAATTAGCTTAGCAAGTGGTAAACACATTTTTAATTAGGTTTTCAAGTAGCTTTATATCATGAAACTATTGCTTTCTAGAAATAGTATTCAGTTAGCATAGCAGTAAAATTGTTTATGGGTTTGCCTAGTGTGTGCCAAAACTTATCTATTGTAGAGT